GTGCTGGGAACTTCCCCACAGGACCCATGTCACTGCCCCCAGAAGGGAGGCCATGGGCACCAGGCCCGCGTGCCCTGTGCTGCCTCTGCGGGTTGAGCGTGACGGGTGGGCGCCATGCTGGCTGGGACGGCTCTGTGACCGTCCCCATCAGCACGAGGTCTGGATGAAGAGACAAGAAGCTCCGGTCCCAGAGGCCCGGCCTAGGCCAGGCACCAGGAAGTGCTCCAGAGTGAAGGCTCCAAGGTGGTGGGGTGCAGGCCCTGTGCACCCGGCCCCGGGGGGTAAGCTGCCAAGCAGCTGGCCAGGCCGTACCTTCGCTCGTGACGCCCTCCTCCAGGTCGTCGCCCTTCTGCGGGAGGAGCAGAGCACAGGTCAGCCCCAGCAGGCCCCGGCTCCCGCTGCGCCGCCCCCGCCACCCCACTACCCCCACTGTCCCAGCTACGCTTCCTACTTCCTGCCCCCAGGGTTCTGTGACAGCAAAGTACTGCTCATCTTCTTGGAGAAACAGAACTTTGTTTTTAAAAAGCAAAAACATGAACCACTTGAGTAGGTTCTAGGTTTTGACCCTTCAGTACGGCCCAAAAGAAAAATCCAGAAAAAGGTGCAAGCTGGCTCTTGGGCCGCACTGCGTGCGTGCAGGCCAGGAAGGCCCCGTCCCCAGGCGCCGGGACCCTCAGCGGCTCTCCACGCAGCTCAGGGCTCTGGGAAGTTGCTGCCCATGGGGCCACGTGAGGGCGGGAAGCGGCAGAGCCATGAAGCCACGGCGCAGGGCCCGACACTAGGCAGTGCTGGGCAGGAGAGCCCTGAGGCGCTGTGACCTCTTAGCAATGAGAGTGGTCAGACTTGCTTCTGTTTGGAGAACATGGTGGCCACTTGGAACTCACTACGCAGACAGAATGGAGGAGAGGAGAGCTGGCGGGGAGTGGGTGGGGAATGGATGGTGGAGACGCCTCTGGCTCTGCGGCTGCCCTGCCTCCAGTCCTGCTGGAGAGCGCTCCTCCGCCCCTGGGTCCCCCTGTGAGCTGAGGGCTTCTGGGAGAGAAGCTATTTCTTTTCTGGGCATTCCCTGGGGTAGATATGATGAGGCATTTTCTTCCTCCGTGGCAAGGCACCTGGGCGGCGGAGTGTCTTTGGGACACCTGGCCTCCAGGGAGGTGACCCGGCGCATGGGAAGCCCTGTCTCAGGTCTCCATCCCCCATGCGAGGGACCACACCATGGCCTGCAGCCAGCGGGCGACCAAGGCCCCCACATGGAGGTGGCTAGGAGCAAGAGATGAGGTGTCTCCAGGTCTGGGAAAGGATCCAGCCAGCCCCCGCCCATGGCCTTGGGCAGCCACTTCCCTGCCACAGAGCATTTCTGCATCAGTCTTCTGCCAACACCCTCTACCCGCCTCCTAGAGGCTGCGGAGAGTGAAAGTGCTCTGTGAGGAAGGGGCGGGCGGGCGGACGGGCGGGCGGGCAGGCAAGGCCTCCTTCCTCAGGACTGGCGGCACATCCTCATCGTCCTGCCCTGTCTCTGGGGCAGGTGTTCTCTTGGGTGCAAGACACCAGGAGATACTAGCGCAGGGAGGCAACAGTGCATTTTTCTTTTTTAAATCCTCACCTGAGGATCTGTTTTATTGATTTTAGAGAGAGGGCAAGGGAGAGAGAGAGAGAGAAACATCGATTGGTTGTCTCTCATATGCACCCCCTCTGGGGATTGAACCTGCAACCTAGGCATGTGCTCTGACTGGGAATTGAACCAGCAATTCTTCGGTGCCCGGGAGGATGCTCCAACCAACTGAGACCCACCAGCCAGGGTGACAGTGGATTTAAAATGAAAACAGCCCTGGCTTGTGTGCTCAGTGGTTAGAGCATTGCCCCGTGCACTGATTCCTGGTCAAGGGCATGTACCTGGGTTGCAGGATAGATCGGCCCAGGACAGGGCTCATGCCAGAGGCGATTGATCAATGTGTCTCTCTCACATTGATGTTCTCTGTCAATCTTCCTCTCTCCCTCCCTCCCACTCTTTAAAAAATCAATGGAAAAAGTACCCTCGGGTGAGGTTTAAAAAAACAACAAAAAACAAACAAACAAAAACAACACCCCATTCACCTGTGTGTATATGTCACAATTAAAAGAAATGAAAACCAAAAAACAAACCCTCAAAAACAGAAAATCCCACAAAAAAACAAGCAGAAAATAAAAAAACAGAACTCAAGCGCACAAACCTGAACGAAAAGTATCTGGGGAGAGCGCAGGGGTGTTTTGGAGCCAGCGAGGGCCAGCTGAGGGCCAGCTCTGCCAGGGCCGGTGGCTGAGGCCACAGGAGTGGAGGACATGCCAGCTGTGAGGCTCTGGTGGTGGCAGGAGCCACCCCTGCCCCTCCTCCCTCCTCCCTCCTCCCCCCCTGCCTCCAGAGCAGCCCCTGGGGTTGTCCCTGGGCCTGTCTTTGCCACACCCCACACTTGAAAGAGAAAAGTGGAGTCTCACCAGGTCGGTCCTGAGCCACACCTCAATGTCGTCCATGACAGAGGGCTGCGCAACGGGGATCTATGGAGCGGCAAGCAGCGGGCAGCAGCCGCACAGCCAGGGAGGGGAGACAGAACACCAAAGTAAATCATCAACACCCCAATGACCCCCACGCACAGCAAAGAAAACCCACCAGCGCAGCAGGCGTGGGCAGCGAGGCAGCCGTGCAAGGCAGGCAGGGAAGCAGTGAGGAGCAGGTCTAAGAGCGGGGGGTGGGGGAGGGGGGGACAGTACGTCCTTGACATGGAGAACTCTTTGACTGTGGTGCCAGGCCTCATGACACGGCCTCTCGGTCAGGCTCAAAGCACCCGCTAGTCTCAGGCGCGCTGCCCTGCAGGCTGACTTTGAACTCCTCGGATATGACAACTGGAGGAGCACTGTCTGCTCGAGGAGCCACCATGGGCCCGGTGCGCTGGGGAGGCCTAATGGCAGTCTGTCCCGAGCAGGGGCAGTGCCAGTCAGCGCTGCAGCTGCCCTGGGAGCCCCGGGTGTGCCGCTCACTCGTGTCTCAGGCTGTGTGGGCACATCCTAGGGGAGGGAGCCCGGGCCGGGCGGCCTGTAGGAGGCAGGCACCTTCCACCACCAACAGAAACCGGAGCAGAGGCTTTGAGGACCGGAGGGCTGTGGGCTTTAGTCCCCTGTGTGTCTTCAGAGACCACTAGGCCTGAATGCGGCGCTTCCCTCGGCCCCACCCTTCCTCCAGCTTCCCAGGGCTGGCGCACTCCCTGTCAGAGGAGTGGTGGCGGGGGGGGGGGTGGGGGGGGACACCCGCCCCCCCCCCCCAAGCAAATGGACGCACCTCCTGGGTGCCTGTGCAGTGTCCACTCAGGGCCACCAGCCCAAGGCCTTGGGGGCTGGGTTCTGAAAAACACATTTGGCTACAACAATTTAAGGGGCTGTCAGCTAGAACATCCTAAGTAAGTAACCGTAGCCTTGCCCCTCTAGAGGTTGCGTTAATGAAACGTGGGCGCCCAGCCTAGACGACCGAGTTCACGGACCTGCCTTCCCCACCAGTACCTCCCAGTGGCTCGCTCACAAGCCCCCTACTTCTAGGAAAACTGCAGCATTGAGTCTACAGCTGGCTTCACCCCCATGTCACAATCTAGGCTAAGAATAAAGTTAAAATGAGCAGTAAGAGGACTGCTCAGCAGTTGCCAAATCTACACAATGACATGAACTCAACTAACGAGCACAAAGACCCTATCGCCCAACCGGCCCCAATGTGACAAGCCACTCCCAGGGCAGAATCCCGCCACCGGCAGGCGGGCAGTGGGTGAGGGGGCTGAAGCCGCACGGAGCAAGGGTCTGACTTGGCCGCGTCCTGCACACACTCCTCAGCGAGTGGAGACCCTCGCTCTGCTGAGCCACAGGCCCAGCGTGGGCAGTGCACGCACACTTCCATAAAGGCTCAAGCCAACCTTGATCAGATGAGGAAGACTCGCCATTTTCATTTTATTCTTTGACTTACTAAGGACTTAAGAATGTTGGAATGAAAAAATATCAAGTTCAAATCATCCTGAAATGACTCCTAGGGACAAAGGACATGTGCTCTCCCTCGAGGGCCCTGTGCCCAAGGCTGCAGGCACCCCCGCCCCCCAAAGCACAGGCATGAGCTGCGATCCCGCAGCCTGCAGAGGGCTCCGCCCTGACGTGTTGCCCGGACAAAGCGACTTCTCTCATCTTGGTGCTCCTCCCTTGGAAGGTCAGGCCCCGGGAAGATGCGCCACCAGGCGCCCAGGACTAACACTTGAAAAGGCAGCCGCCTCTTCACAAGGAACCCGGCCACAGCTGCGGGAGTGAGGCTGGCTCCACGGACACACTTTCCAACGTGGTGCAGAAGCCCGCAAAGCCACTGAGGCGATCGGGGCCTTAAACCGTTAGATTGTGCTTATAATTAAATTATTGTTGTTACTGTTCAAAAGCAAGTCCCTCGGGCTGGGCGTCACGCTCCAGGTTTTCTTCTTTGAGGATGGACCCCGAGAACGAGCATGCTCAGAAACACTGACAGGAGACGCGCAACCCTGAAAGCCCGAGGCTGGGTCCCGGGAACACTCCTGCACTCTCCCGACGCCTCCATTGCGCGGTGCTACGGAGAGGCGGCCTCCAGGCGAGGCCCGGGCTGAGGCGCCCTGGGCACGGGAAGGGGGGGCGCCCAGCTCACTGCTGCAGACCCTCCGCTTCCCTAAGGAGCCTCGTGCTTGCCTGGAGAGGCCGGGGCCTGGACAGTTCTGGCCTCAGTTTCCTCCTCTGTGAAACAGGCTGAGGTCACGACTCCGAACCCTTAACTGCCAGGTGGCGTGTCGGTTTTGGAATTCTGAAGATTCTGAGGAGCCGTCCGGAAGCCGCGCAGCTGCGGCCTTCAGAGGTACCGGCGGACCCGGGACCAGAGGCACCGCCTCACCCAACTGGACTCACTCTGACGGCGGCGCCGAGTCTCTGGAGAGGCACGTGCGGGCCTGACCGGAGGCGCAAAGGAAGAGAATGTCCAGGGGAAGCCAGTGCGGACGCCCAGCAGCTCTGGGGTCGCCGCGGGGAAAGCTCCCTGGGGAGATGCCAGGAGGCTCCCACGAGGACCCTCAGGCGGAGCCGACTTGCACGGCCTCCGAGACTGAGCAGATCGCTTCTGCCCGTACTGAGCAGGAGTCAGGTTTGAAGTCATCATTACAGATGCATAAATCCATCTTTTCAATAAACTATCAGTTGTTAAAAAAGACAGACAGACAGAAACCCAGGGACGTCAGAAATGACTGGCGCTGGCTCCTCAGTATGAAGGCACTTGGCCTCCAGGGGGTGCGGGCCAGCAGCCCCGCGTATATAAAAGTAGAGAACAATTTAAGGGGCTGTCAGCTAGAACATCCTAAGTAAGTAACCGTAGCCTTGCCCCTCTAGAGGTTGCGTTAATGAAACGTGGGCGCCCAGCCTAGACGACCGAGTTCACGGACCTGCCTTCCCCACCAGTACCTCCCAGTGGCTCGCTCACAAGCCCCCTACTTCTAGGAAAACTGCAGCATTGAGTCTACAGCTGGCTTCACCCCCATGTCACAATCTAGGCTAAGAATAAAGTTAAAATGAGCAGTAAGAGGACTGCTCAGCAGTTGCCAAATCTACACAATGACATGAACTCAACTAACGAGCACAAAGACCCTATCGCCCAACCGGCCCCAATGTGACAAGCCACTCCCAGGGCAGAATCCCGCCACCGGCAGGCGGGCAGTGGGTGAGGGGGCTGAAGCCGCACGGAGCAAGGGTCTGACTTGGCCGCGTCCTGCACACACTCCTCAGCGAGTGGAGACCCTCGCTCTGCTGAGCCACAGGCCCAGCGTGGGCAGTGCACGCACACTTCCATAAAGGCTCAAGCCAACCTTGATCAGATGAGGAAGACTCGCCATTTTCATTTTATTCTTTGACTTACTAAGGACTTAAGAATGTTGGAATGAAAAAATATCAAGTTCAAATCATCCTGAAATGACTCCTAGGGACAAAGGACATGTGCTCTCCCTCGAGGGCCCTGTGCCCAAGGCTGCAGGCACCCCCGCCCCCCAAAGCACAGGCATGAGCTGCGATCCCGCAGCCTGCAGAGGGCTCCGCCCTGACGTGTTGCCCGGACAAAGCGACTTCTCTCATCTTGGTGCTCCTCCCTTGGAAGGTCAGGCCCCGGGAAGATGCGCCACCAGGCGCCCAGGACTAACACTTGAAAAGGCAGCCGCCTCTTCACAAGGAACCCGGCCACAGCTGCGGGAGTGAGGCTGGCTCCACGGACACACTTTCCAACGTGGTGCAGAAGCCCGCAAAGCCACTGAGGCGATCGGGGCCTTAAACCGTTAGATTGTGCTTATAATTAAATTATTGTTGTTACTGTTCAAAAGCAAGTCCCTCGGGCTGGGCGTCACGCTCCAGGTTTTCTTCTTTGAGGATGGACCCCGAGAACGAGCATGCTCAGAAACACTGACAGGAGACGCGCAACCCTGAAAGCCCGAGGCTGGGTCCCGGGAACACTCCTGCACTCTCCCGACGCCTCCATTGCGCGGTGCTACGGAGAGGCGGCCTCCAGGCGAGGCCCGGGCTGAGGCGCCCTGGGCACGGGAAGGGGGGGCGCCCAGCTCACTGCTGCAGACCCTCCGCTTCCCTAAGGAGCCTCGTGCTTGCCTGGAGAGGCCGGGGCCTGGACAGTTCTGGCCTCAGTTTCCTCCTCTGTGAAACAGGCTGAGGTCACGACTCCGAACCCTTAACTGCCAGGTGGCGTGTCGGTTTTGGAATTCTGAAGATTCTGAGGAGCCGTCCGGAAGCCGCGCAGCTGCGGCCTTCAGAGGTACCGGCGGACCCGGGACCAGAGGCACCGCCTCACCCAACTGGACTCACTCTGACGGCGGCGCCGAGTCTCTGGAGAGGCACGTGCGGGCCTGACCGGAGGCGCAAAGGAAGAGAATGTCCAGGGGAAGCCAGTGCGGACGCCCAGCAGCTCTGGGGTCGCCGCGGGGAAAGCTCCCTGGGGAGATGCCAGGAGGCTCCCACGAGGACCCTCAGGCGGAGCCGACTTGCACGGCCTCCGAGACTGAGCAGATCGCTTCTGCCCGTACTGAGCAGGAGTCAGGTTTGAAGTCATCATTACAGATGCATAAATCCATCTTTTCAATAAACTATCAGTTGTTAAAAAAGACAGACAGACAGAAACCCAGGGACGTCAGAAATGACTGGCGCTGGCTCCTCAGTATGAAGGCACTTGGCCTCCAGGGGGTGCGGGCCAGCAGCCCCGCGTATATAAAAGTAGAGGTTCACTTGCTCTGGTTGGACAAAACCCCTTAAATCAGCACCCTGAGTATCACACGGTGACGTCCCTTCTAATACCGTGGGTGCTGCCTCTGACGAAGCCTGTGCCTGTTCTACACCAGGGCCTGGAGCTGAGGGAGGACGCGGAGCTCCGCCCAGGCTGACGGAAGGGCGAGAGGCCAGGGCTGGCCCAGCTGAGCCCTGGGACTGGGGCTCTGTCCTGCCGTGGTTTAGCATCTTCTTGGGGAATTATCCAGTCAAAGGCTGGCCCAAGGGGTTGGAAGAAGAGTGTGAGTTGGAGGAGGTAGACAGAAAGGGGAAAAGAGATGTGAAGAGAGAAAGATAAAAGAAGTTACTTGGGCAGCACCCTCCAATAAAGACCAGGGCTAGAGCTGACCCCGCCGAGGACAGGCGGCCAGGCTGGCTTGGCAGAGGCAATGGCCTGTCCTTGGAACCCAACAGAAACTGGCAGGCGGGTGCCAGTGGCACATCCTGGCCACAGAGGTGATGGGCGGTCTGCTGCCAGCGGGCCCTCACCTGGCTGCAGGCAGGCAGCTCTGCTGAGGCAGCAGTGGGTGGCCTGTGCACAGGGAAGAGGCTGTCCTGGGCTCAGTGCTCTTGGGACGTCGGGCTGGCTGTGCCTGGGGTCCTGCGGGCCTGAGTAGCCCCCCCACCCCCCAAACCTGGTCTTTGGCAGCAGCAGACCTTCCTACTAACCTACTTCTGTTCTCGTGACAGACTCACTCACAGCAGAGAGCTGCTGGCTGCCCAGCGTGCGGGAAACTCCCTCTCGGGTCACAGGCTGGGGGGACAGCACGCGCGTTCTCAGGGTTTTCTTCAACTGCTGATGAGCCTGGGGTGGCTGACTTTGGTGCTGAAGTCCCAGGAGCCAGGGTCTGCCCCCCACAGCCCCAGCCCACAGGGGAGCAACTGTCTGACTTCCCATGCAACAGGCACAGTTCTGCAGCCCAGCTGTGCTCTTTGCAGTGAAGTGAGACCTCCTCCCGACAGGTTCCTCGCACCCGCCGTGAGGAGTGGCCTACGAGCCTTTGGTCGCACTCAGCAGCACAAAAAGCTTCCAAGTAAAGAATCTGTACCTGGGAATGTAGGCAGACTCAGGGCGCTGCACTACGGGAAGTAAGGCAAAGCAGTTAATGTGCATCGTTTAAAAGGAAAACACTGCAGGCAGGCAGGGAGGCTGGTTAGCTGTTAGCTGGGCTTGCTTCCGGGGACGGAGCTCCGGGAGGGGACAGGGTGGCTGCGACGGCCTGTGTGGCAGAGGCAGGCACCACCACCAGCTGCCGAGGCCACGCTCAGGGTGACTTTTGGGGGCAGTGTCCTTTTCCTGGCAGGGTTAAAAGGCACAAGGACACATGCCTGGATCCTTCCAATTTGGACAACGGAGTGGACATGGTCTCCAGGGGTCCTGCTCTACAGCCACCCACACGTGGGCCAGGGCCCCAGCCTGCCCCTGAAGAAGCAAATGAGGGGCTCAGGCAGCCCCTCTCTCTAAGATGGGCTGTGAGGTCTGCAGAAACAGAGTGAGGAGAGGGCTGGGCCCCACCTGAGCATGGCGTGCAGGGTCGCCTGCTCCAGCCAGGTGGCAGGCAGACACCCTCGCATGCTGCCCTGCCTGAACACCCGCCCCTGGCCACAGCCTGGCACGGTCCCAGGCCAGTTACAGCCTTCCCTGTGTGCACCCGGTGCTGCACTCCAGCTGCAGGGAGAGGCCCAGGATCCCGCCTGCCTCGCCTCGCCCTCTCGCACCCTGCCTGCTCGGCGTGCGGGTGCAGATCTTGTTGAGGGCTGTGGCTTCCCACGGTGAATGGTCACTCCCAGCAGGACAAGCAGCCAGGACGAGGTCACCTTCTCCACGCACCGGGCGCAGGGCCACCCGGTCAGGGGAGGGAAGAGAGACCCACCTGGCCAGGGGAGGCACGAGCCCCGCCCGGTCCTGTGCAGAAAGGCTTTACTTCCTGAGCCCCAACTGCATGTGTGCCGCTAACCCCGGCCGGCCTTGCTTCTTCTGTCCTGCTCCGTGTGTGTTTGTCAGAGGCCGCAGAGCCTCTGGGGTGCAGTGGGCACAAACCCTGACCCTATGGAGCACAGCGGAGCCAGCGTCTAGTGCTGCCCTCACAGGCTGGGGCTTTACCAGCTGGTCAGAGGCTTGGAGTCTGTTCTCTTAGAAGCAAAAGCCAGTGACCACTCACCCTGAGAGGGAATACTGCTGAGCGCCCCAGAGACAGTAAAAGGAGGGAAGGGCCCTTCCCCCTGGAGACGGTCCAGACCCCAAAGGCCCGGGCCGGGACCTCAGCAGAAACCAGAGGAGGCTGGGTCTGTGCTTAGGGAGACTGTACAGACAGGAGACACTTTGGCACCCAGCTGGAAGGGGAGAGTGGCCTGTGCTGTCTGACTCACAGGGCTCAGCGGGGACATAGGTAAGCGCTGGGGGACACGGCGCTCTGCTCAGCTAGTGGCCGCTCACCATTCCTTGGGTCACGAGCCAGCTGTCTATGGGCTCCAGGTCAGCATCCCCACCTTTAACTCTCTCCTGGACAGAGGACAGGAAAGTCCCAGAAAGAAAAGTCACAGTGAGACCCACAACCAAGAAGCAACAGCACATCCCACGGGACGGAGGCCGCTCGGAGTGGTCACGTGTCATGTCAGGCCCTGGCCCAGGGGCCTCCCCTCCACGCCCCCCACCTACCTGTGAAGAGGTTAGTGAAGTAAGCCAGCCCTCCAGGGCCCCTGTGCCGCCTTTCCCGGGCACCGGGCGGCCTCCAGGAGCCACAGACCGCCCGGGGCTGCTGCTCCCAGGGAGGGCTCCCAGGTGGCAAGGGGCGGCTTACCGAAGAACCAGCCTTTACAAATCATTCCTACTTTTTTCTAACTTATCTTTGCTTTTTCTTCCTTTTTTCCTCTTTCTCAGTTACCTGTATGTTCATTTCCCAAACTCTTAAACTCTAAATTTGGGTATGTTACCTTTTTTAAATGATAAAAGCAAGACAACTGATTTGGTTGCACTGTGGAGGCGTGGCTATCCATCTTCCCCTCCCTACTGCATTCTTCATTTCTCCCTTGACCCAGTGTTCCTTTCCAGACCAGTGTGGGTTAGTGTATGAACATGACCTGAAGCCCTGGCCTGCAGGTGCACGTGAGCCAGTGTGTGAGGACAAAGATACAAAGACACACATACAGGCATGAAAACACACAGTCACACAGAGACACACACACATACACACACACACACAGGTATGCAAACACACAGACAGACACAGATATACAGACACACACAGAGATAAACACACACACAGATATATAGACACACAGACACACAGAGATAGACACACACACAGACACATACAGAGATAGACACAGACACACGGACACACACACACACACACACACATACATGCAGAGCTAACAGGAACCCTGCTCCCCGCATCGCCCATCGAGCAGTCAGCATGAAGAGAGAGCAGCCTGCCACCACCACGTGGAGACATGCTGGACTCAGCAAGGCCTTTGAAAGCTGAGGCTGGCCAAGCCACACACCCAAAGGGTGAAGGGTGGGAAGCTGGCCACATGTCCTAAGCTCAGACCCAGGCGTGGGCACTGATAATGGCAAAGGTGCGGTAGGGCACAGGTTGCCATGGACAGGGCAGGCCCTGGAGACAGAGTGGGAAGCAAACCAGGTCAGCCTGGTTGAGGGACAGGGCTGCAGGCCAGGCCAGGGAGGGCGGGGAGGAGGGGCACCTCACGTGGCAGGGCCTCCGCCCAGTTCCTAAACGCCCTCCAGAGCCAGGAGGGAGGACATTCTAAATAACGGGTAAACGGAGCCGTGGCCGCTGCACAGATTCTGGGAGTCTGGTCTCGGGTTTGCTCACCCTTCTGTGGAAAGGCAGGGGACTGAGATGAAGGCAGCTGGGCTGGCTCTTCTGTGCCCCCTGGTGGCCAGTGCAGAAGGACGCAGTTGGCCAATTAGGAGGAAGGAGGAGGCCCTTCCCCAAGGCGAGCTGCAGGAGGCCCAACACTGGCATTCGGAAGCAAC